ACAAAGAGGAGAGGTTGAGCACAAGCTGCTTCCTCTGATTAGTTGCCCACTACCTGGGACAGGCCAGAGGGCAGTGACTGCGTCAGAGCAGGACTGGGCAGAGGCTCTGGGGAAGTTGCTGGACCTGTGGGTCTCATCAAATTGAAAAGGAAATAGCTTCAGAGTCAGATTTCTTTCATGCTCCGCACTGACTTGCATAGCATGAACAATGAAGCCACACAGTCAAGAAAATGTCCTGAGAGTCTGCTGGCCACAGCGATCCCACTTCAGCGGCTTACTCGCGTTGGTCCTGGCTGCTGTAGGTGGGCCTCACTTCCCACTGCGCTTGCCAAATCTGGCTATGTGTTGGACACTTCAGGGACCTGAAGGAAATACCAGTCCCTGTCAACTCCCTCCAGCTGAATTAGAGTTTTAGGGAGTGCATCACTATTTACAAAACATGGACAGAAATTGAAAGAAAATTAAAGGAAAAGGAATATTAGGAAAAATTACTCATAAAACTACACATTTATTGAAGGATATGCATCCAGAATATATAAGGTGTTTTTTTTTTTTTTTTTTGAGACAGGGTTTCATGTCTCCCTGGCTGACCTTGACCATGATGTGATAAGCCAGAGGGGTACTCACTAGAGCCAGGGCTGTGCTCTTGAATCGCCAGAACTTCAATCTAAGGAACCTTTTATTTTGTGGTAGCTAGGCTATTAAGTATTTAGTTATAGTAACGTGAAATAGACTAACTTAGCTACCTTGAAAAGATACAGTGAGTTATTAGAGACTGGAGAGGTGGCTCAGCAGTTAAGAGCATCGGCTGCTCTTGCAGAGGACCTGGGTTCAGTTCCTAGCATTCACTTGGTGGTTAACAGTCTTCTGTAACTGGAATTTCAGGGGCTCTAACACCCTCTTCTGTCCTTCTCCGGAACTGTATGCACATGGTGTATTTACATGCAGGCAAAATACTCATACATAAAATAAATATAAAGACAATAAAAGATTATATTATATAGTGAAGGATTGACACAAAACAACTTACTTCGTGCTATGTGTTAGACATTGCGCCAGGCACTTGGTAGGCATCTCATTTAGTCTTTGCAACAACTTTATGAGCAGGTATTTGTATTTTTTTTTTGATATTTATATATATTTTTTGGTCTTTTTGAGACAGGGTCTTTCTGTAGCCCCAGCTGTCCTGGAACTCCCTTTGTAGACCAGCCTGGCCTTGAACTCACAGAGATCTGCCTGCCTCTGCCTCCCAAGTGCTGGGATTTTCAAAGTGGCAAAACTGAGGCTGTGAGAAGTTGCAGACCTTGCTTTAAGACTCGTAGCTGGTCAGCAGCTTCACCAGGCTTTTAGTCTAAGCTGAACTTGGTAACTTCAGACTGTGTATTTCATACCTCTCTCTGTGACATCACTTCTTGCCATCAGTTTCACTTTTTTGCTGTTTTTATTCCACTGATTTCCTGACCTCACTGAGATCTCCAGTTTCCACTGGACCCACCACAATTTCTATCCTATTGTTATTGAGTTTCAGGGTACAGTGATGGGTTGCTGTACGACACCCGACTCAGGCCTTCCTTTGCTGTCTGCTCACATCAGCTTTCCCGATCCTACTGCCTTTCACGGACCACCACCCCTCTCCTTTGTGTGTTTGGTACAGTTTATTATTCCTTTGCAAACACCTCCAACCCCGTTGTTCTCTTTCTACTTGGGAAAGGCTAAATTCTGTTATTCTAATTTTCTTCACTCCATTCTTCTAACCAAGCAGTAATTATGGCTGGAGATAAATACACAGCTATAGAGACTGGACTCACTTCATGTGAAACAGGTTTCAATTGGGTCAGAAGGAGAAGAGGAACATGAACTAACAAGGGCAGAGATGGAGCATTTGGTTGTGGTGCTATGGAGAGGCAGGGGGAGGTTGGTCAAATTCAAAGCAAGATGGAGATGACGTGGGAGGGGAAAGAGGATAGTGGGGAAGGGGGCTTTAGTGGCCAGGGACCATAGTGGTGAGAGACCTGGATGAAGAAACCTGTGTAAATATGCTAATGAGGACCCAAGTTATTTTAGTTTGGGCCCTGGCTGAGGCTCTGGAGGATTCTGGCTGGCCTCAGCAGGGAGATGAGTCAGTCACAGAGTGTGAAGTGCTGTGGATGAGGCCATATGGAGAGAGGGGGAGAAACAGGTGTTTCTCTTCTGGTGCCTGGTGCAGTGGTGAAGACAAGCCGTTGAGTGGCATCGGGTCTGTGGTGGAGCTGGGCCAGGAATGGCTGGGAAATGCTTAACCACCAAGTCTACAAGAAACAACAACAGCAGCAAACACAGTCCCACCACAGACAATTTCAGGTCAACAGCATACTGTTACTGACTGTAAAGTCGGGAAGAGGTGTGGCCCATGAGGGCTGCAGGCAGCTGGTACAAACTGGCTCCAGCACAACTCTTCCTGGCTGGGAGAATTTTGAGCTCTCCATTCGAGCAATGAAAAAGTAGAGATTATACACTGAGCACTGGGGCAGGGAGCAATCTTTCAGGATACAACAGATTTCTAGCTATCATGGAGCCGTGAAGGATGATTGCATACAGGGATCACCACAGTGCAGAGACTGGGGTCACCTAGAATGGGGTCTAAAGAAAGTTAGTAGTACTCAACTGAGAGGGATCTTAGGTATTTGTGCTCTGCTTTTGTCAGCTGGGAAAAGAATATCAATGAGGGACTGTCTACATTGGGTTGGCCTGTGGATATGTCTGTGAGAGATTGTCTTAATTAAGGTAATTGACGTGGGAAGACCCAGTCCACCGTGGGTGGCACCATTCCCTAGGTGGGGGTCGGAGAGCTGTGCAAGGATGGAGAAATTGAGCTGGGCACACGCAAGCAAGCAAGCAAGCAAGCAAGCAAGTGAATATGGATGCATTAATTTCTCTCTGCTCTTGACTGTGGATGTGACCTGTCTTAAGCTCCTGCCACTGTGACTTCCCTGAAGTGGTGGACTGTGACCTAGAACTGTGAGCTGAAATAAACTCCTGTCTTCCCTACATTGCTTTGGGTCAGGGTATTTTATCACAGCAACAGAAATGAAACCAGGACTGACCTCTAGTAAGATGTCTGTCTTTTGTCCTGTGGTCTCTAATAATCTCTACAGTGATAACACTTTTAGGTCTATAAATTTGTGATGAATAAATTTTTGTCAATAAAGTTTAGAAAGAATTGCAATCATGTTATTAGTCTCAAGTAGCCAGAGAATTCATTCATGTGAATAATTTATTTTCATTTTAAAGAGACAGAACTTCTAACCTGCAGAAACCTGGATTATTGGGGCTGGAGAGATTGCTCAGTGGTTAAGAGCACTGGCTGCTCTTGCAGAGGACCCGGGTTCGATTTCCAGCACCCACATGGTGGTTAACAACCACCTGTAGGTCCAGTTCCAGGGGATCTGATGCCTTCTTCTGAACTTCTCGGGCATTGCATGACACAGGTGCACTTACATTGCACAGGCATACACTCATACATATAAAATAAAAAATAACAAATAAAAAAACCTGGATTATTGGAATTTTCATCCAGAGGAAAGGGTAACTTCAGGAAGGGGACAGTGGGAGAGCCAACAGGGATGATCAAATGTTGACTGATTTTTTTCCTTTTTGAGTGAATATGGTGTCAAATATGAACAAGCATACTTTTGGGTTCCTATTTGTAGTTTCCCTTTGTGTCCTATATGGATGGAGACTGTTTAATCTGCATGAGTGGTACTTTGGGACTTTTCTTGTGATACTATGTGTGACTCTTACCCTAAGTTAGAATCACTGCTGCTTATGAAATAGTAGAAGGGACCAACATTTGCTGCTAGGTTGATCCACATGATCTGCCCCCCAAACCCAGAAAAATCTCATGTTTTTGCATTATGACCATCAAGAAGCAGGACTTTCTAGTTCCCGCCCCCTCCTCTTTCCTTCTTCTCTTCCTCCTCCTTCTCCTCTTCCTCCTCTTTCTCCTCTTCTTCTTCTTCCTCCTCCCCCTCTTCCTTCTCCTCCTCTTTGTCCTCCTCCTCCTTCTCCTCTTCCTCTTCTTCTTTAAGTAGTGCATTGATCTATTCCTGGCACTCTGGGAAGATATTGATTGCAGCTCTGGAGAAGATGAGGGACAGGGAGGGACAAGGCAAGACAGGAGCCATTCCACAAATTGCCAACATGCAGGTCCTGGCATCCTACTTTTGAATGAGTTTTATGGCTTTGTGTCAAGGGGAGATCAGGGGCTGCTTGGCCTCCCTATAGATCAGTTCACTGAGGTGGTTGTAGCAGAAGGTGATTTTGATTGCACGGCAGCTCCCACTCTCCTCACTTGGCTTCCTTCTTCTTGAGGGGTGCAATGCCAGTTTGCAGCTCATCAGATCCCAATCATGCCAGGGTTATTGTCTTGTCACTTTGCTACTCTGCCCATCCTTTGTTATTCCACTCCTAAGAGACTGACCTATCTTCCAATGGAAGGGAGAGTTAAAATAAAAATAGAGCCATTAGGACATGTCACAGAGGGAGAAACTGGAAGTCGCCTGGGCACCAGAAGAGATATTTGTACCGAAAACCAAAGAAATGGAAAACCAAAGAAAATGGTTCTACTACAGCTGGGTGGAACCGAGCCCTAATCTACCTGTGGTGGAGGTAAAGTAACCAAAGTACAAGCAGATAAACTACTTTGCTGCTGGTTCATGCAGCTTATCACTAAGTATTCAGGAAGAGGGCTGGAGAGATGGCTCGGTGAGAAAGGCATTTGCTGCTAACCCTGGCGACCTGAGTTCCAGCCTTGGAACCCACATGATGGAAGAAAACTGACCCTTACAAGTTGTCTTCTGACCTCCACATAGGTACAGTGGCATTTCCCCCCACACCCCCACACCCTTCCACACCCCCAACAAGCTCCACACACAAAATAAATAAATGTCACAAAAATACTCTAGAAGAGAGGAGGTCAGCAAGTACTTCTGCCATGGGATTCCCTCCCCTGAGACTCTCACCTGACAATATGGATGCCACAGCAGCGATGATGAAGGACACAATGACACCAGGTCCTGCCATCTCCTTGGCCACGAGGCCAGATACTACATACATGCCAGTGCCCACACAGCTACCAACTCCAAGAGAGATGAGGTCCATGGTGGTGAGCACCTGCGCCAGCTTGGTGCCATGTGCTGTGGTGGTCCCAGTTCCCTCCAGCATGGACTCCACAGGTTTGGTGCGCAGGATCCGAGAGTGCATGGCATACCAGGCAGCCCCCCACTGCACCCGCCGGGGGTCCAGTGAGGCCAGGAAGCTGCTCATCTTGAGCAGTAATATTGTAGTGAAGGTCAGCTGATGCAAAGGGGCTACAGAAGCCTTAGTGGATGGTTCTGGAACTCATGGAGTGAGGTGCGCTTGTCCTTTTAGGAAAGGTCCAGAGGGACCTAAAGCAGCCTTGTCTTCAGCATGAATGTCTGCAGGAGAAACACGAGAGGAGAAGGTGGAAGTGAACTGTGACCCAGAGACAAGGAGGGGGAGTTCTACTGAGAATGGCACAGCTCATCAGTACTTTGTTTTATAACATGGGCACTCTCCCCTTCTGTGTTATCCCCCAGTCCCCGTATGACCTCCTGAAGCTTGCACTTTGTCGCACGGTCTTTCTTAGAAACAGATTTGTTCTAGGACCTGAGGTCTTAGCAGTCCAAAGGTGATAACGAGGTCATGACAGAAATGAAGAGATTCCGAAGAGAAGGCTGTGCCCCTCTCTTTGGCTATCAGAATACTGAGATAAACTATGCACTCCAAAGAAGTAGCTTTTCCCTAGGAATCTCATGTTGGGAGAAGGAAAAGGCTGGGCCCTGATGCCAGTCATAGGGAGGGTTTGTCTCCCAGAAAGAGCTTCCAAATAGTTCTGACAACTTGTCAGACCACCTTGCAGGATAGTCTTAAGCCCAGCCAACGATGCTGGCAGGATCATACCTTAACCAGGGCTGCTTGGTTGTATATACCTGTCGTTGTCTATTTAAACCTAACCCTCATGTTAGGACCCTAAAGGTGGACTTAGAGTGGGGCCACCAAACCTCTTTGTGTCTTGTCCCGATGTGGCCATGTTGAATAAATACCCCCTTTTCTGCTTTTCACTATTAATTTGCCTTTTTCATTTGTTTTTGTGTGACACTATACCTGGGGAGATGTTTGCAAACAATGTCTATTCACCCTGGATAGGGAACTGATGATAGACCAAAGTAAGGATACCACTGAAGTCCAATTTGGTGAATCAATGAATTTTATTTGGCTACTTGCAGGAATATGGGTGAGGGGTTGCTTATGGGGGCGTGACTCAAAGACAAGCTGCCATCACCAAAAGCCCACCCAGACACAGGTGACGGCTCATGAAAGCTGGGGACCTGGAAGGCACTGAGCAACCTGCAGGCAGCTTAACAGGTTGAAGAGTGTCTCTTGTAGGCAGCTCAGCTGATCTGAGTCTCTTCCAGACAGCTTAAGGAGCTTCTTTGAAGGATGTAATGTTTTACCCCCTCTTTAGAACAGAAAGCATTTCCCTCCAAGGCAGAAGGCTTTATTTCAGAGGAAATTGCTATACAACATTTGCCTATTGTATTAGTTGCTTTTCTGTTCCTATGATAAAATACTCTGGCGAATGCAACTGGAGGAAGAAAGGGTTTATTTTGGCTTATGGTTCCAGAGGGGTAGAGTCCATTATGGTAGGTTGGCATGGCAACAGGCAGGGAAAACGTGGTGGCAAGAGCAGGAAACTGGCTGACCACATTCTCGTCCACACACAGGTAGAGAGAGAGAACAGGAAATGGGATGAGGCTATAAACTCTGAAAGCCTGCCCCAGTGATGTACTTCCTCCACCAAGGCCTCCACCTCCTAAAGGTTCCGTGACCTTCCCAAGCAGCACCAGCAGCTGGGGATCAAGGCTTTAATACATGAGCCTATGGGGGACAGTCCTCATTCAAACCAGCACACCTCTTGAGGAGGCTGAACTTGGCTCATCAGGGCTGCCAGGACCCAGACTCTGACTTTAACAACTCTCGTAGCAGAGTCACCTGCTTGGTGTTGATGTGATGGGCAGGTGAGTGCGTGCCTGTAAGGAGCTGAAGGCGATGCCTGGCATGGAGGAAATGCTGCTTTAACTCTTTTTTAACTCTTTTTTTCGATGTATGCTTTTAATTGAATTTTTGTATACTTCATAGAAAGCATCTCAATCATCTTTATGCCCCTCCCTGACTCACACCCCATTTTAGTTCCTCCCAACCGGGTTTCATGCATTCTGTCATGTATGTCAAGGCTTATTGAGCAAAGTTAGTGTGCCCAGATGTCCCTTGGAGCAAGTTCATTCACTGGAGCCTGGTCAGCCTATCTAGAGTCTCTCCCTTAAAGAAGGTCAACTCTCCCTTACCCAGCAATAATCAGCTGCCAATTGTTCTTTGGCTAAGATTAGGACCTGCTGCCCATTTCCCCAGTTCTGTGCTGGGTTTTTATCTGATTGAGTTTGCGTGGGTCTTGTGCATGCTCTCACCAATGCTGTAAGTTCATATTAGCAAGGTCCCAGAGGCCTGGAAAACTCTCTTTCCTTATGATCATGTACCAACCCTGCCTCTTACAATCTTTTCACCCCTTCTTCCACGATGGTGACCGAGCCATGGGTGGGTGAGTTTCAATATAGGAGTCCTATCCAGGGACACACTCTCTGCAGTCTCTTATTCTCTACACTATGGCCAGTTGTAGCCTTCTGTGTACATTGTACTCTGTTGTATGGGGAAGCTTTGCTGGTGAGAGCTGAGAGATGCATTGGAATTCCCTGTTCTGCCATGTTTCACTGTAGACGTGTCACTTAGGGCTGGGCATCTCTTAGACACTTATTCTCTGTGTGTCCAGTTTTGGAACTCTGTAATATGCTCCTTACTTGGCTCTGCCAAGACTTGGTCTGTGATGCTTGGGCATAGTCTTTGGCACTATCCTCATTAAAAAATAGGGCATAAAATTAGATCTGTGATTTTTTTTTTAAAGAGGGGCCATGCTGCCCATGATGTTGTTTTGAACTTGGCTTTCAAATAAGACATAAAGTATTTTGAGTATTTTCTTGCTTTGGAAGCTTAGATGGTAAGACATATTGCTGTCATTTGGGGGCAGAGTTGAGACTGTGAATGTTAGGGCAGTGTCATACATCTCTAAAAATCCCCTGTGACATCTTGGAGATGAGCACTCTCAATGGCGATCTGAGCCTAGGACTTCATTCTGCTTGATGTATCAGCGTGAATGATATTTTAGATGGACTTAATATATAAAGACATTGAAAGTTCTGTGAAACCAACTATAGAATATGCTACATGAAACTTGTTATTTGTTGTTTAGAACCTACTCTGGTTAGTTTTTGTCAACTTGGACACAAACTAGAGTCACCTGGGAAAGGGATCCTGATTGTCCAGATCAGATTGGCCTGTGAGCATGTCTCTGAGGCTTTTTAAAAACTTCCAGTTGATGTGGGTGGGCCCACTGTGGGTGGTGCCATCCCTGGGCTGGCAGGCCTGAGCTATATAGGAAAGGTAACTGAAAAAACTCAGTGGAGGCAAACTGGTGATCAGCATCTCTCCATGGTCTCTGTTTGAGTTCCTGCCTTGACTTCCCTCAGTGATGGATATGACCTGGAAGTTGTAAGATGAAATGAACTCTTTCCTCTCCAAGTTGCTTTTGCTTCTGGTGTTTATCACAGCAACAGAAGGCAAACTGGGACAGAACTTTAGAGTGGCTGTTTGCCATCTGAGACAGCAGAAGCCCCCATGCCGTTCGTTATATTTTGTTTCTCGTGCAGCGCCTTCCAACAGCCTGCCACGGGGTCCTCATTTAGAGATGCCTGACTATTTTCACACTGAAATCTGTTAGAGATGGAGAAGTTTATTCATGGGTTTCACTTTAGGATACTAAAGAGAGGCAAGATGAAATATTTATTATGGAAAGGGATGTTAAGTCTGATTGAATTGAGAGTCATGGCATTAGCTGAGTTTTCAAGTTTGGTCAAACTAGAAATTGCACATGTTTCCCGAGGCTACTTCCTTTGGAAGTTAGCAGCTGTATAAAATTCTGTGAAAAATTACTGAAGTGTAGTGAAACATTGATTTCAAGGACTGTACTTATTGATAAGCCTAGGATATTTATATGTATAATAAGTACATGCATACATAATCTATAAATATAATTATTTTTGAGTCAGGGTCTTGCTAGATAGCATGGGTGTTCTTGAAGTTGGTGATCTTCTTGTACCTTCCTGAGTGTGTGATTATAGGTGTGTACTATGATGCCCGGCTTACCAATATTATTAATTAATGCTACTTAGCACTTAATGTTGCACTTATCTGTTCCCGTAGGCTTTGTAAACACTAACTAATAAAGAGAATCAGGTGAAAGTGGCAGCCTGGTTCACAGGGCTTAGGCGACAACCCGTTGGGTTTAATTTCCTCCTGGAGTTCAGAGTGTCTAGACTGCCTTCCTCCTTCCCCTCATCCTCTCTTTCTCCTGTCTTGCCTTCATCCACTATCTCTCTCCTCTTCCTTACCACCTTTCTGGTCCTTCCTTTGAGATTAGTGAGACAGTATGCCACATGGACCACAGGAAGTTGCTGAAACAGCTACTTTGGTGGTGGTCATACAGGAAAACGAATTCAAGGACAATTCTGCTATTTTAGTCACCTCGTCTGTGGCACGCCACTGTGGCAGCCTTAGCAAACCAATTTAGGTTATAATGGAAATAATGGACACATGGCATTGGCTTTCCAGTGACTAGGGGAGCCAGTGGTACCTGCCCAGCATCAGGAGAGGTGTTCTTTGCAGAGTGGGTCCTCTCTCTCTCTCTCTCTCTCTGATAGGATGAGGAGGAGGATCTGAGTGTCATGAATGAGTTAGGTGAGGATCAACAAACTTAGTCCTCACAACCAATCTGTCTTTCCACAGAAGCAATGGGGATAGGGTAAGTGCAATCTTCTGACCAAGGTCATAGACCCCTTGAAGGGTTTGGGCCAGACCTTGGCCTAGGATATCCTCTTGCAGGGCTGATGTCTGGATTCCTGGTTTTCTTGCTTGAAGTGCATAGAGGTCAGTATGCATAGGGTCTGGTAAGATGAGACAGACAGAGTTTGGCATCAAAGGCAGCAGGATACCACCAGAGGGCTTTGTTCAGTGAGTACCATGAGATCAGTCGTGCTCTAAAAGCTCATTCTAGCTGCTGTGCGAAGTTGGGTGTGGAGGGAAGGCCATTAACAAGAGCCCAGGAGATGGAGCAGGTCTCCATTTGGGAATTTTCACAAGCAGAATCCAGAGAGAAACTCTAGTTACTACCTGAATTTCTGTCAGCAGAGTGCCATAACATAACAGCACAGAGCTGCAGCCAGTCCTATGAACAGGACCTGACTTTGATCAACCAGGACTGCCCTTATTTGCATAACTCTGATTTACA